ATATGCACTGGGCCTCTAGTGTGAGTGTATATATGTATTAGAGACGATTAAAAAATGTTAACACAAACAAGTTATAACAGAATTTCTTAACTACATGTTCTCTAGTGATGAGTCAGGACGTTAGGGAGGCCTAGGACCCCGCCCGGACCCTCAATGAGCTAAGCAGGCCAGGTTCTGTGGTTCGCAGTGACCTGAATTGCAGGAGGTTGCAGGGTTACAAAAGGAAAGAAGGAAGAAATGAAGAGAAAAAGCAAGAAAACGGAGGGAGGGACCTGGCTGGTTGCTCAGTGGTTAGAGCGTCAGCCCAAGGGTCTTGGGTTCGATTCCCAGTCAAGGGCACATACTTTTGTTGCGGGTTCAATCCCCAGCCTGGTCGGGGTCCGTGTGGGAGGCAACCAATCAATGTGCCTCTCTCACGTCAATGTTTCTCTCTCTCTCCCTCCACCCCCTCCCTTCCGCTCTCTCTAAAAATCAACGGAAAAAATATCCTCACTCCTCAGCTGAAGATTAAAGAAAAGAAAAGGAAGAGGGAGGGAGAGAGAAGGCCGTCGCCCTGCGCCCACCGCGCCCGCGTTCCCGCCTCCTTCTCCCCGTGGCTCTGGGAGCCGGACCCGGAGCGAGTCTCACGCCGACTTACCCCTTCCCCAGGGAGATGAGCACGGGGTCCGCCAGCCCCATGAGCACCTGGAAGGCCCTGTTCATGTTCCGGTAGGAAAAGTGTTCTCCCGCGTCCGCAATGACCACACAGTTTGGGTTGGACGTGTCGATCTGATCGAATTCCGAGCGGACTTCTGGAAAGAGAGAGGGGAGGGATACAGTTCAGTGCCACCCCGTGCCCCTCCCTGGGAGGTGCTCTGTGGCATCAGGAAGGGTCTGCTCAGGCCTCAGCAGCCGGCCTCCCGCGGAGCTGGCGCACAGCGGCCCTGGCGTTGGCTGAGCGACTGCCTGATGCCAAGTCCCAACGACAGCCAGTGAGGGGACCTCCCGGCCACCCTGCCCACACTGCGGCCTCCCCGAGGGAGTCTGCTCTGGGGGACAGAGGGGCCTCAGTGTGAAGGCACACCTGCCACGGTCCCAGGTCATGTGGGCCTCAGCATGAAGGCACGTTGCCATGGTCCCGGGCCACACGGGCCTCAGCGTGAAGACACACCTGCCACGGTCCCAGGCCACGTGGGCCTCAGCGTGAAGACACGTTCCCATGGTCCCGGGCCACGCGAGCCTCAGTGTGAAGACACACCCTGGCACAGTTCCGGGCCATGTGGGCCACGGGCTCTGTGGCTGACACACGAGATTTGGGAGGAAATCGCAGAGCTGCTGACTAGAGCGCGGACGGGCAGGCAGCATCCTGGGAGCGGCCAGACACGGGCAAGTGGAACAGCCAGGGCAGGCGGCTCCTGGGGCCCTGAGGGGCCTCGACGGACCCCAGGGCTCAGGCTGTGATTCCGAGGGGAGCAGACCCTTCCCGGGGGACCGGACCTCACCCCACCTCCCTCCTCTCGTCCCGAGGGGCACCCCTGAGGCTTCCCAAGGTCCCACCTGCCCTGCCCACGCCTCCCCTCCTCCTGGGACACCTCTCTGTGCCCGAGACACATCCCTGACACCTGCCTCCACACGCTGCCTCTCCACACCCCTCCCGCCTCAGAGACCCACCGACACCTCCCCCACCCCCACCCCACCCGGCCCA